GATTAGAGTTTTGACATAATGAAAAAGTTGATATAATATTAAGAAATGTTCACATCATGTTATACACTTTTTACACCTCGTAATAAAGCACTGACATTTGTGTTCAACAATAAGATAAATCCATATCATAATAATGCTTTGATATAATAGAAATATACATATAAAACTGTTTTTGTTGTGATAAGTTTAATTATAAAACACAATCTTGCAATTCTTTGCTCACACATTTGAAATGATGTAAAGAAACATTCATTTCACGTAGTTTTGTCACAATGTAAACATTATCACTTCACATAATGAATTTTTGAAATTTGTGTTGACATAATGAAAGGATGTATTTACTTCATGTAATGCAAAATGGATATTTTTACATAGTCTCATCATAACGTAAAGATATGTTCACATCACGTTTAAATTGACATAATAATCATAGTTGTATGCTATAAGGCAGTGATGATACTTTTCTATGATTTACAATTTTTGATTTTTTTAAAATAATTGTTAATTATGTATGACCCTTCCTACAATGCTGTCGTTTTCACTCATTTTTCAAAATATAGTTTGGTAACCTCAAAGGTTGAAAGATCAAATTTTGTTGGTGTGACAACTTTTTTACTCCTATCAAATGTTTCTTTAAAAAATTAAATGTACAATTAATTCTGTTTCCCTCATAAACCTTTTTTTTGCAAAAAAAAAATGTTTTCTATCAATTTTGCTATGTGTAAGACTAATAAAGAAAATAGCATATAAAACTGCATAATCAATGATAATTTGTTGCAATTTTTTCATTATCTGTTTGAATTTCAAATATACAATTTTTGATTTTTTTAAAAAATAATTGTTAAGATATTCCTACATGCTGTGTTTTCACATTTTTCAAAATATAGGGTGACCTTTGAGCATTAAACTTTTTTACTATCAAATTTTTCTTTAAAAAAGTTTTTGATGTCTATCAATTTTGCTATTATATAATTTTTTTGTTTAAATTTTCGAAATATGCATTGGTTATTGTAAGTCCTGTTCATGTGATGCCCATTATATATTTTTGTTTATTGAAATCCAATGGTTTAACAGACATTGGTTGCTGTAAATTTCACATATTTCAGTTAATATATTTTTGGGATATTAACAAGATTTACACTTGCTTTAATGAAGCGTTTAATTTTACTCTAGTTTACTGATTCTTCACCATTCATTTTTCATGCAGTGTCTCGAATAGCCCTTGCTTTCCAGCTTCCCTCAGTGAAATAATGCGATGAAAAGTGGTCATATAAACTGTTACCAATTCATTAAAGATTCAATAATGAGAGAAAGCCAAGCTTAATGTCATATGATTTCTATGTTGTATGTCATAGAGCTAATGACATTATTTATTGAACGTCCCTCGTATGTACGCCATAGAACGTCTACATTATTTTTTACATATATATTTTCAGAGATTTGCTAAGTGCATCATTTACAATCAATTGCAAAATACCAAAAGTCAAAAATATTTTGACTTCCTGGTTTTTTTTTTCGGTTGTAAATGATGCTATATTTTAAATATATATACGAATCAATACAACCTATTATTTATTTGTATCGTGCATCTTAAATTAACAGGAAACACTCCATAATTAAATAAAGTAGACAATGATGTAATTAAGAATTCTATAAATTCATTTATTCACATGAATTATTTTAACATCTGATTCAGAAGGTAGAATGTGAAAATTGACCTTGATATTTTCTCATTGTACCATTAAATAAAAGTGGTATCTTATGTCGAAAATATGTATATTCTGTTAAGTAATTAAGAGGGAGAATGCTATTAAGCAATTTGATGTTGAATGTCACTGAAATGGTGTCTAGAGTTTAACTTCCGAACAATATCCTTGTCCCTGAATTAGCTCAGTTATGACGTGTGTTGTGTTTTCTTGCCTTGAAGTGATTCTTCTCCCGATAACACATTCTGGCAAAGGACGACTTGGAACTAATTGAACCCTTTTATAATATCAAAGGGAGGTTGATTCTTTTATTCGTCTCGGTCAAGAGCTCGAGGGATGTCTTACATCTTCATGATCGCTCTCCATTTCTGTTTTCAATTTCCTTAATAAGGTTAATTTTTTACCATTTAATATTTTTCTCCTGTTGGAAATTTCGATTTTTTCTTGATTGATGTCCAATTTATATCCACATTCCAACAGGAAGTATGGACTTAAATTATTTTTATCTAAAATGTTTTTTCTCCAAGAATTCTCAAGACCCTGTTTAATAGTACCTTATTTGCTTAAGAACCCTTGAATTAAAATTATGAACTCTGAAAATGTTCAAATCCCTCATATAATGATTATTTCCAAATTCATAGTTTTCCCTCGAGTTAAATTTTTTTTTGTTTCGAAAATTGTGGTCATTATCGTCGTCGTAAACGTTTCACAATTTTATCTTCTTCCGTCCAACCGCTGACCATTGAGCCAATTTAAAATTAAGTTGCCAAAGAGTGTCCTTGGATAAAGGGGATTCAAATTTGTTCAAACAAGGAATCACGCCGCTCTCTTTTAAGGAGAGATAATTTAAAATTTAAACAATGTTCAATTTACATAGTGAACAATTTGTTCACCCCGAGGGTGCTATCAAATGTTTTACACACAAATATATATATATTAGTATATGAAACTTTCAAAGACCTACTATTATATTTGTTTTTGTTTATATACTTATGAGCCGTATGGCTTAAAGCTATTCAATAAAGAATTATGCCATTATATCTGGCCTACTACAGACTACATCAGTTGAATCTTATATGAAAGTTTCATAACACTGTGTTCAAGTCTTAAAAAAAAGTCTTAATTTCTTGAAGGGTAATTTTCCTACTTATGTACAGTTCTCCATTTTAAACATTTGATGATTTTGTAATTTGTATATATGCCGTAGGACAAAGAATTCAACATCCTAATCATAGGTCATCAAACTTATGTTACAAAAAAAATATTAATGACTTTTTCGTGACCGTTATTAATCCAAATGAAAATAGTGCAGCGATGTAGACAATGAGGATGAACCCAACCTTGAAAAAATAATTTCTTTTTAAATCCCAAGGGAAAACTCTTACAAATTTTGCTAAAATATCAAAATATCGGTTGCTTTATGTAGAAGTTACTGGTTAATAGATTTTTTTGGAAATGAATTTTCTTTGGCGTATATACATATACGTTTATAAGGAAATAAAAAAAAAAATACAAATCGCAATATATTTAGTAAACATTTTGAATGTTCTGTCTTACTGTTTTAATATTGGCATCATTTAAAAAAAGTAATCTTTTTCATTTTTTTTAAAATGGAAATAACAACATGCATATCGACTACTTTGGGATTTATAATTTTCGTACGCATGTAAAGCGTAAAATTATCAATATGAATTTTTCGAGATTCATTTTTGCATAACCATATCAAAACAGCAAGAAATATACTAGTGTATGAAATCTGACTTAGTGTCATTAAAATTGTCGATATAGATTTGGAATTTCAAGTACCATCTTTTCAGGAGATTAAAACAGAATACATGTAGTTGTAAAAATCAGTGTAATGAATATACTCATACCTGTACGAGACTATAATAGAGATTACTTTACATAACTTATGAACAATTATAGATTTAAGAGCTGTTTTCGGTCAGAACTTATTTGTGTCCACAAATGGTTTAAAATAATCTTCTTTTAATTATTACAGCAACCCACCACCTCGGCGCCCCTCTGGCGAAGAAGCGCTCACGCACAATATACACAAGTAATCGCATTTTCTAAAGCTTTATATGGATGTACTTGAAAAAAATGTATTTAATACTTTATCAAATTTCTTCTGTCCAACCAACCTACATGTACATACAAAGCAGAAAAATGATAGGACCATGTTTGGATATTTGAAATTTTGGCTCTGTTACACTCAACATCATTACGCTTATTTACCATGTATATACGTGTACATGTAAATCATTGACAATCAAGCACATCAACATTGTATTGTTACCGGGTATTGAGGACCTCAAAATGTTCAGTAAACCAATTAAATTAGATTTGCTATGTTTATCTGCACTCAATATCGTATCATGTTTTAGCTCAGATACGCTATATATAGCTTTAATTTTCAAGAAATTAAACGTTGCTAAAAAATATTTTGAACTGATTGCTGATGAACAAATATTAGAAAAATAATATAAATAAATAACAGAAATCTTAGAGAAGTTACACCTGATTTCAAATATTGGAATGAGATTTACTTAATAGTTTGATAAACTTCTCTAATCCTATTATACAAAATGCGAATACTCAAAATCCGCTATATTTATCAAAACCCCAAGGCTAGTTTTTCAAAGGTGTCTGATGCTAGGTTTAATTACAATTTTTTGCACAGAAAATAAAAGCAGATTTAAGAAGTAGTCTACTTATGATTAGATCACCCACTAAGCGTAGTATTAACAGCCATGAATTGAGATAAAGTCTTTAACAAGAGCATCACAAAGCGGTGCATTCCTTCACAATGAGCATATCAATATTCGACATCGATCCCGATGCAAATTATTTCACTTCCGTTTAATACAGTGCTAACTCACTCACAAACGTACACACATGATTGTGTAACTAAATACCCCCAACACCGTTGCGAGGGAATAATACTAGACAAATTATGCGCAATGAAAATCTTGTGTGCATTTACGATTGCCACGGACAAATGAAACCACAGAATAGCATATAAAGTGTAAATGGCAATTTCTGTTGTTTGAACTTTTAGCAATTTCACCTTATGAATGTGGTCTTTATTCATCCAGCTACTGTGATTTATATACGATTTAAGTTTGTTAGTTGGTCAAGAAACAATATAAAGTCTCGATCGTAGCAGATACAATAAAATCGCCGAATGTAACATTCCCAAGGTAAATGATAGGATTTCATTCAAAATTACACATTATTAAATAAGTGAAGATAAAAATAAGAATTCGATCATTACAATTTAACAGATTTAAATCTGGTTTGTGGATTTTATTTAAGTTCAGAGTCAACATGAGTTATACAACATACAGGTACCCCATTACTCTAACAAACAGTGAGTGACTGTCTTGTAAACCGAGTTCCGAGCTCAGTTTCCTGACTTTCGGAACTTCCGTCTTTGAATTTCACCATTAAGATAACATCCGGTTTCGAGTTAAGTCTTCTCTTACAACACAATCTTAAAAACGCTTTCTGAAAACCACTGCTCATAAGGCAGTAACAAATTGGGTTAATGGCGGAATTAGAAATGGCCAATAACTGTAGTAAGGGATACACTTTTTCTGAAATCACCACACTTGCAGTGTTGATATTGAATTCCAACCAGATATAGATGACGTTGTATGGTAACCAACAAACGCAGAAAATGACAACAACACATATCAACAATTTAACGGTCCGTCGTCTCTGCAGAATTACTCTCTTTGTCTGAGTAATTGCCTTGTCTTGAGTTCTCCACAGAACTAAGCTGATTTTGGTATACGTTAATATCATGGCTAACAATGGTATGAAGAAAATGGACACGAACACTACAATGTTATACAAATGTTTCCCACTCGGTGGGTTCCAATGCTCATTGCAAATTCGCTTGTCAAAAAATGGTGGAAATCCTATATTTCGAATGTTGTTCACCACTAACAGAGGTGCAAACACAGCAAAAGATATGCACCAAATAACAAGGATTATAAAATAAACGCGCCGTTTTGAGAACGTAATTTTGGCGCGCAGTGGTGTGTGGATGGCGATAAATCGGTTGATGCTAATTGTGAGAAGGCTCAAGGAACTTACACAGATTGCACTTCCTTGTAGAAATGACGTCAGTTTACACATTCCAATGCCGTACACATAGTCCCTGTAAACAGAGGTCCCTAGGGTGATAGGAATGCAAAAGAGAACAACAAGTAAATCACTTATGGCGAGATTCACCAAGAAAACGTTAGTCAGTGTGCGCATGTGTTTGTAGTGAAGAACGGTGATTATTACAAAAATGTTTCCAAAAAGCCCCAAGAAGAACACAATACTGTAGAGAAATATAAGCGCTATTGTCAAGGGTTCCTTGTATCCTTTGAGTTCTTCACGCATATCTTCGACGAATTTTTCCAAATCAAAGTTGTAATGATACATTGGGTCAGATGAATTATGAAAAGGGTCTTCGAGATGGTATTCCATACTTAGGTGCGATAAGAAGTGCCTGTAGTTAGTCTCATTCACAATATGAACAGAGCCCATTCTTGCTTACTTGTCATTGACTGCAAAAAGCCATGTACGCAAAGACAGCGAAATCCAATGCGCCTCTCACTATCGATATTTCACAGCAAAGTCTATCTGCATATTAAGCGTGTGGAAAAGGCGTTCTGTGTCCGATTTTTAGGTGTTTAATTTGTTCCGAAGGTTTGGTATCGTCGCCGGAAAGTTATCGTTTGTCGATTTGGATTCCATCCCTACTTTACCTGGGTGTTGGTAATCTGTGTTGAAATAAAAACATTTAACATGTTAAGAAAAAATATTCATTTTTTTTTATTGGACGGCATCAAAGAAAGCTATCATCAATGAATTAACTTCCCAGCGGGAAAATTATCCCCAAATCATCAGCAATATCTTTTACACATGTAAAAATTGTTGTTTTTTGTTTTGGAAATACCAAAGCAATTTTTCGGTCTTGAAGCAAATGCGGAGAAATCTCCAATTATTACTTTTCATGATCTCTATCGAATCACAGTGATAACTTTTGTTAGCGGCTAGCTTTTTTAATGCCCACAGACTCAATGAGACAATCCGTCTACTACTTTCATTGACCTTGGTTATTTAACACGGTATTATCAACACTATATATTTAACACTGCTCTGGTCATCAAAATTAATCTCAATACTCTCTTTAAATAACTGTTTTTCACTCATCGTTTTTTATTTAAAAAGAAATAAATATGTTTAATGCCATAAAAAGTTGTATTTCTTTTTACATTTTTTTTTAAAATATCTGAATTTTTTTAACTTCTAACATGAAAATATCATTTATGAAAAGTTTTGTCAAAAAAATCACATACTCCACCCAAAATTTTTGGGCGATCTAAAGGTTTTGAAAAAAGTCATTTCCTCGTGTGTTGTGCTTAAGCCAAAATAATAAAAATATATTCCGAGTTATCAGGAAAGAAACTACAAATATTTGGCAATAACACTTTACCTCTATGTTATTCTCCACACGGTAGGTTATAAAGCACTACCTATTCCCACTATAAAGAATGTTTTAATTTTTTCTCTGACCACGCCAAGTTCCATAAAGGTTGCAAGAACTCTTGTACAGGTTATTAATAAAATTAGATTACCTACCCCAATATTATTATTAAATAATTAGTTTACCAATTATTTTTGTAGACTGGGGCATTATTTGGGTCAATTTCTTGCAGAGTTGTTTATGTGTCCAGAATTCAATTAATCCATTTTAGAATTTATCTGACAGTACGTTACATGTATTTGTTGGCTCCACGTGTGTTCTTTAACGCACACTTCCATATCAAAAACAATATCTATATGGAAATATCACAGAAAAAATAAATAAATGGAAGAAAAACAAACTAAACAAAAAGTTGAAGTTTTCATAAAAGAGAAACAAGTTGTCTATTTTAAAGAAAAATAAAATATTCGCGTATACAAGACACCTGAATAACTGCGACATACGTTTAGTAACATCGTAACTTCAGAACTTGAACCAATAGAATTTCCTTGTAATCTCCCTACACCCAACCCAATGCCGTCTCCTAGATGTTTTCTTATATATATGAAGATTGAAGCATTGCTTTGGTGTTATTCCTTTGTTCTTTCAATCCTAAAATTAACCATCGAGAATTTGATATTGGCGTGAGCAGTCTATTATTAAAGTGTAATTGCAAATTGTCTCAGTGCAGTGCTGATATCCTTCAAAAAGATTGTTACGGAGAAAGAACATGATTATTTAGTCAACAGAAAAATTTAAATCTTATTTGAATGTTGTTTTTTTTAAATATAATAATAATATGCATTTAACATTCAGAAATACAGCTAAAAGGAAGAAAATGTGGCTTACCAGACATGGGTTTAAATCTGAACCCCTTGCACTTGTAATTAAGTTATTCAACTTTAAGATGTTTTTCGTTCAGTGTTAAAAGTTCAGAATTGCCTACTCCTTGTTTAAATTCTTCTTGCTATCACTTTACTCATCATAGAATTCTGGTTACATTACGAAATGATTCATTACAGATGCAGTCTTTTATTATACAAATTGCTTGTTATTAGAAATAATAAACCTTTAAGCATATACTTAATTTTCTGTATTTTTAATTTTGGTTCAGATTAAAGGTCTCCTCTTTCTATTCTCAAATTGTGTCTATAACATAATCCTATAGCTAGACACTGATTTATGTTTGTGATCCCCCTCCTTCAATCAAACAATTAATTACACATTGTACTTGAAGTACCCACTTCTTCGTTGCTGATTATATTATAAAAACACCAAGTACATTTAATTCCTGTCAGCATTCTTACATGTAAAAGAATAGTTCTGTATTTTTTTGCATTTTGTTAAAATATTCAATCAGAACTTTACATGTTATGTATTCATGCTGATTTCTGAATTCAAAATGCATTTTCATTTCACGACATTTAGCCTCACCCTATCACCACAGATCAGGGTATAGTAACCAGTTTCACTTTGTCTCTTAAGTATTTATTAGTGAATATCTTTAATTTTCGTAACTTTCTTTTTTTAAATGTTGCTTTAAAGTTTAAAGTGCCTTTAAATCGTCGACATGACAATGTCATGAAACTTAAATAATATATATGTTAGATATATTTTTTTGAATGAAATCATACATTTAGTTTATCATAGAGAAAATGCAAGCAGATTTTTTAAAATAATTTCAAAAGGAATTCCAGTTTTTACAATCTACTAGATATAGCTCCGCGCTCAGCTCTATTACAAATATGCCTTTAGTATATGCATATACTTACACATGTCTGGTTTTGTTTTTGTATTTTTCAAAATCATCAGGAAACATTAATTATACATCTGAGGGCAAAACACGAGCCGTTAAGGATACAAATTAAAACAAAGAAAAATAAATGGTTTAATAAAGGTGAGAAAAAAATGAAAAATAAAAGTAACCTATTTTCATTTTATTTCCTATAACTCTTTACTTGGATCTCAGTCTAGCAAATAATTCTTTTTGCCTTGGAAGTAATGGACTGAACACATAAAGGAAGTGAAGGTGCAAGGGCGATCTGTGAATTCTGTCATAAACTTGCCGTAAACTATTGTCAATATACTTTCATCTCCATAATTATTCTTCGACGTTAAACAAAATTGTACCATAAATCAGTCTATATTTTCGACATCAAATGTTCATTTTTTGCAAATTATGGAAATAATTAAATGCTTTTTTTTTTATTATTATTATCATTATAGATAGACAAATTCTGTGTATGTGATTAGATTTGTTTTTCCTTTCAGACATATTGTCCATAGGAAAAGACAAAATGTCATCTCTTTTTCAAAAACCATATTTTTCCTTAATTTATTTTATCTTTAATAATTCTGGTAATCAGTGCTTACTTCATGGAAACGTCAGTCTGTATCTTGTACGTAATTCGGAAGAAAGAACTTGGTCATTTCTTATCGATTTGAAAACATCAACCTGGTTTTTACCCGCATTATCTCTACCTGGAAGGGACTTTAAAGCTAATAGAATGATAGAGTGTCCATCGTCCATCTGTCTATCATTCCAATCTTATAAACAAGCTTAAAAAGCTACAGCAACTCCAACAGTTTATGTCCATATTTCACAAGAAAACTTCAATTAGATGAAAAATTCAGTTTGAGAGTTTCAATTTTGATGCTCTGAAATCGGATGGATGAACATTCAAGTAAAATTGATGCTTTAGCATCAAATCTGCCGCAAAGAAAAGCTAACAAGCATCCATTTTTTTTTTTTTTACAAGAATGCATCCAAGAAAAGTGCAAAATATTCCAACCATTAAAAAGTCATGACAATGTATGAATTCTTTAAGTTCACAAATAGACCAAACTCTAAGGTCAAAGAGGTAAAATTGTTGGTACCCAAGGGATGACCTTGTCACATAAGATACACCTTATCCTGTGAAAAAAGAAAGCTTTTGTGCCAACTGTTCAAAAGGTATGAACATGGTTGAATTTCTTCAAAACTACACCAAATTCCAAGGTAAAGACCAAAAGGTCGAAATCATTCTTACAAAAAGGAAGGTCTTGTTACAAGGGATACGCTTGTGAAATATAGAAACACTAGCACTAACTTTAAGTTATGGCAAATGTTAAGGTTTTTCAAAAGTTTAGGTAAAAACTCCATGGTTAAACGATACCAGAGGAAAGTTCTTGTCAGAAGGAAAACACTTCTGAAATATAAAAGCCTTGCAGCAAGATGTTCAAAAGTTTAGACTAGGACCATCTTTAAAAAAATTGTTTGGTTGCCCTCTCCCGACCAGCTGAATAAAAATGTCCCGACTCATTTTTAATACATTCCAGGACATGATTTCCTTTTTATTCCTCTCATCCTGTTAATAAATATATTTAAGTTTTCTGGAGCAAAATTGTTTCCACCTGCCTACCGACCAAATTATTTTACCCTGAGTCTGTAGAGGACAAACAAACATTATTTTAGAGATGTTCTTAGGGTAAAATATCTTGATGCCCAAAGATAGTTCTTGTCTTTCTAAATACAGCTGAAAGCCATAAATGTGAATGACAAACAAAAAAATATGGGCAAGGCTAAAATTTTTTATTCAACAGACAGATTCACAGCTAGAAAGACAGACAGGAGAACAGGACAAAAACTATATGCTCCTTATTCTTCATTAAGGGGGCATAAGAATTTGACTAATTGTCTATTATATTTTCAAATTTTATGCATCAGAATTGCCACGAGTGGGGTTCATATAAATGTATTATTTTTTGCTATATACTATCAATTAAAAAACCAGACATTTTCATCGTTAGTTAAATATTCGACCGCCCCCCACAATCTTCCAATTTACTTGTAATTTTGCTCACCTCTTACAGTTCAAAGAATAAAAAAGCCACTTCATTCGATAAAAAATTGAATCATTATCCAGAATTTGACATGGAGCCAAGTACATACCTAAGAACACAACCAGAAAATCTCTATCCTCAATCATAATAGATAATTAATTAATACTCTTCTGCATGCAAACCAGTTATATTACTTTTTGATAGCTATTGGTATTTTTTTTTCTTGTTTTACGAAGATTTTTAACACGTACATATGTAAAACTTGGTCTTGTTTGTAATGCTTGAATCTACACTGTGAGAAGCTTCCATGAGTTTCATCTTTCCTGGCCCATCGGTTCTGGACATTTTTTAAAAATGCCATTAATTTTTAACAAATTTATGATTATCTCACAGGGTGTGGCCCTTCATTTCTGAACAAGAAAATTTGT